CCTCTACTTTATAGAACTACCCTGTACTTTGGCGAATGCTCTAGCATTTACTAGATATAGGGTAGTCTGGTATATAAAAGAGAATGACAACGTGACGGGAAGGTAATGTAATGTGTGTGTAGATAGCGAGTAATTGAACTGCAGTCAGAAGTATTGTTGACGTTCGTTGATATAGCGTTTGTTATAGAGCGATTGTTGAAAATAAGTGTATCGTAGAGTTGTATTCGGAAAGAATAAACCAGTTTTATTAAGTAAGGACTTGTGTCGCTAACGTTTCGTCGGAACGAAGTTACGGAAAATCAATTAACAAACGGAGACGTAACAATACTAATGTCCGATGAGGATCCACTGAAGTTAAATGGTTTATAATGTTCGAAATTTATAAACATTCCTGGTCAAATATCTGAAGTTTTCCGATTGATAAGCGTAAAAACAATCACAATTATAGCTTCCGAAGTTTATAGCACACTGATTATAGCAAACTAATAATAGATACTCTTCTTGGCACATTGGGTTGGTTATATTTATAGGCCTGGGAAGATTTTCCAGAAAATTCGGATTACGCAACAATGCAAAGTAAAGCGTTTACGTACACACATATACTTTTGATTCTTACTCTTGAGAATCTTTTACAACTTTGGAGAAAAGGCGGGAGTTTCGCAATACATATCTAACACTATAAGCTACGCGTGTTTTAAAATATAAACTCAATCCAAACAAACGTAGAGATTAGAATGAATATATATAACAACAAATTCGTTACAATACTTAGATGATTCTCTTGCAAAGAAGAAATACCAACAGGAAGAGGAATGAGAATATACTCTTTCCTATTTGTTTTTATTTGTCATTTGAAGTTATTTTCTATTCCTTTTCAATATTACTTTAACACCTGAGGACAAGTAGAATGAGTACAATTTGTTCAAAAGTGATTAAACATTAAAAAATTACATTTATAAATACATAAAAAGACAGGTATATTAGAGTGATCTATTCATCCTCAAATCAGATAGTAATATAGCTTATGTGTTTAAGGCTGGTTATTTGGATAGTGCAAAAGAGGCCTAAGGCTTATTTATTCGTACACCATATGACAACATCGAAAAACCTTTCTGTTGTATATCTCTTACAAATTGAATTAGATTAGTTAAAACCTGTAGTAAAAAGGTCTATAAAATAACTTGATTAAAATCCCCCCTCAACACTTGGCAGCTTTACAAAATATTTTGTTTTATGTCACCTTTTTGAAAAGGTGACAAAATGACTTCTTTCTCAACAGTTGCTAATATTATTAAAGATCCAGTAACTGGAGTTTAACAGAGAAGCTTTGATGGTATGGTAGATATAAAAAAACGGGAAAAACATGTCACAAAAAATGGTAAAGGATAAATAGATGTTTTTAACGCTTACAACTTTTCATGCCGAAATTTTAATCACCAGAGGAAGAGCGTCCAGGCCCGAAAATTTTGTTTTCAATTTAATTGTACCACAGCGGGTTTTTGTATGACTTTTCATTGTAAGTATATTATCCTTCCCTTAACAGCTGGCGATATTAATAACAAGTCGTAAAATGTTAAAAAAGCTGTTAAATAATGTTTAGTAAAAACGTTACTTCTCGAGTGAGAAATTGATCACTTCATGTAAGATTCTATTATCTAGTTTATAATAAAACAAAATAAATTTATTATTAATATCAGAGGGGTCGCTAGGTTCTTAAAAGATTTGGGGCTCGGGGTCATAGGCATAGGAATTTTCGGCGTTTCGGTAGGATATCGATCATGGTTTTGTATTCCGATTTTTCGAAACACCAACTGGGGATTCGGGGCACTGTCAAATAGAATCAGGGCACGGCCCCGTGTGCCAGTTCCAAGCGACACCTCTGGCTAATATGATACAATAGATATATTTCCCTCAATAGTTGGTAGTATTGAGATTCCTTTATGTCTTTTGAATGAAAAAAAATATTATTATTATGGTAAAAATATGCTTTCATCAATAGAATGATGTATTACTTAAAATTTTGTTATTAGGCATTTAATAAGAAATATTGCTGCTAATGAAAAAGAACCTTTCTTAACGTTTGAAACTTTTATTTACAATTCTGTTACTTGGTATACAACAAGTGAATACTATTTCTAAAAGACCCCTTTCTTAATAATTGGAAGTATATATCTAAATTTATATTACTTGGTGTTAAGTGTATTTTCTCTGATGGAAATGTTTGCATGCAGAAACTCCGGATAAATTTTACATAAATTTATTCACTACTGTACTGTTGCGGGTTTAATTACTCTTTAGGCCTAATTATACAAAATAGATATAGATTCCTTAAAATTAGTGCTATGTGATACATACATATATATATATACATACGTATAATATGTTCACGTATTAGCAATAATTGTTATCCTCTAGATTGTTCCATATTTTTATAAAGATGGATGTTTATTTACTAACGTGTTTCAGGTCTAACAGTAAAAAATAAACCTTAATTGTAATCAAAACTGTAAAGCTTAAATCATGTCAATATATGTTAAGAAGCCCAATTTCGAAAAAAACAAGCTATCATTTATGGCATGTTATTTTTGGTCAAAAGTTTTCAGTTTTTTCTTTTATGTCATTTCTTCTTTTCTCCACACTTTTCAACTTTGTTTGAACCATTTCAGCTCAAATTTAAAATAATCACCCGTTTCACGATTACTTCAGTATATTTAGTAATTTTCATTCAAAGTTCACAAGAGCATCCGTTTCACGATTACTCCAGTTTATTTGATCATCTTGGTTCAATGTTAACAAGTGAACTCATTTCATGATCACTCCAGTTTATTGAATCATTTCCGTTCAGAGGTATGAATGGCATCCATTTCATGATCACTCCAGTTTATTGATTCATTTCCGTTCAGAGGTATGAATGGCATCCGTTTCATGATCACTACAGTTTTTAGCCCAGGTGTAAGAAAATCAATGTTGACAACTACGTAACTAGAGTCAGGTTATTTGTTTCACGTCGACAACTTTTGATGTCGGAGTAACAGTTCTTATTAAAACTTGCTAAAAATCCTTGACTTGGCAACTAGCCAAAACGTCTTCATGTAGGTACAATTCTAACATACGTAGGACAGATTGTAAACTATTTTAACAGACTGACAAACAGCAACTTTCCCAATTAAGTAGATAGATAGATCTCCAACTAAGTAGTGACAAACCTAACAGAAGTGATGAGAAGCTGCCATGATTAATTACTTGGATATATATTTTCAGCTATAAAACAGAAGCGAGACAGAGCGAAAAGCTAATCGTTTGAATATGGCACCAGATACATTAAAAAGGCTTTTAGCAAAAAATAAAAAATCAGTCTCTTTTTAATGATTTATGATTAATGTGAAACAAGTATTAATTAATAAACATAATCTGCACATTCTTCTAAAGTAATACTAGAGAGATTAAAAGCACGGGTTGGAACAACCGATTTACTGAGCATCATGCACATGTATACAATTAGTGTTAGAATAACACATACCATTTTTCCTTTATAAGATTATTATTAGAAATAATACAAAAACACAATTGGATAT